AAACAAAACATCTCAGAGGCAAATGTCACTGAAAAGATAAGACACCACAGAAACCCATCCAGGAACCACAACCACTTCTTAGAGGAAGACATTAAAAAGGAGAAGCCACAACTCAAGGTTCAAAGAGAGCTGAAAGAAAACAAAAAGACGCTTGCTTTCCTTACCATCCCATCTTGTTCACCTTGGGTGAGGGAAGAGTATTAGGGCTTTGACTTCAAAAGAACTCAAAGGCTGCAGAGAAGCTGGGCAGGAGGCCCAATTGTGGCCTCCTACTGCCAAGGACACCCTGTGGTACCTCGATGGCCCCCGGGCACTGGAGAGCCTTTCTCTTACAGCAGACACGGGCTGCCGGATCCAAAGCTGCTAACGGCCTCCAAAGGTCCAAACACCCACCGACTCCATCCTCCACAACTATGGGCTACGGCTAAGAGGGCCGGAGGGGCATGAGTTCCTTCAGCTCTTCAGCATGGCATCCAAAAACCCGGCCTTCAGCTTTCACCAGAAGCAGGTGCTGCGCCTCAAACACTTGGGCCAAAGCTGGCATTTCTGAACAGACGGCCAGGCTGACCTTCCTGCCCAGCAGGCTGACTTGTCATCCTAAGACCAGATCCCACCTCAGTGGGTTTGGGCTCTCCCCATGTCGGGTAACTAGTGACAACTCACAAGCATCGAGGCTGCAAAAAACCCTTGTCAATGGCCAGGCTCTCCAGACAGTCATGATTAGCAGTGTGCACAACCCACACCAACGCACACGCATACACACGTTCGCGTACATCGTACCCCTGCTATGCACGCGCGCGCCCGCCCGCCCGCCCGGGACCACCTGTGCCAGGAAGTCAGGGGCCGGGCCCACTTGGGCCAAGGTTCCAGAGGCTTCGCAGAAACACCAGATCTGGCCAGAGCAAGTCGACATACTGCTGAACTGTTATCTGTCACCCAAGAGGCCGGGTGACAGCACAAAGGCCTTATCGCGTCTCCAGCGTGGGCTGTGACACAGAACACACAAAGGGGCTGCGCACTGACGCCGGCCACCGGGTCCCTAGTGGGTCCTCTGCAGGCTGGCCAGTGAAGGACCCCAGACGCGCTGCCCGACCGCACGCGCGCGCTCACCTTGTGGCAGGCGGAGCAGGTGGGCAGAGCGCCGCCGGGCCCGGGCGCGCTCTTGCCGCCGCCGCCACCGCCGCCGCCGCCGCCGTTGCCGTTCAGGCTGCTCTGGATCTGCGTGAGCTCCTGGCGCAGCACCTGCTTCTGATGGAAGCTGAAGGCCGGGTGGTTGGAGGCCATGGTGAAGAGCAGAAGGAACTCATCGCCCGTGCGTCCCTCGTTGAGCTGCAGCCCGTAGTTGTGGATGATGGAGTCGGTGTGCGTGAGCGTGCGGTACAACACGCCCGCAGCCTCGCGCTGCTCCGAGCCCAGCAGCGCCAGCGACACCAGCAGCTTGCTACGCACCACCTCGTCTGTCAGGTTGGTGAGGCTGCCAAGGTCCGCCGGGTTGTTGGCCTTAATCTCCGAGTCGCGCAGCGAATGGTAGTCCTTGCGTGCCAGGTCCTCCAGGCACGAGCCGAGGAAGCGCAACTCGAGAGGGATGCACAGGTCCAGCAGGCCGCACAGGAACTCCACGCGCTGCGGCGACGGCAGTTCGGAGAACCAGCGGTACACGCCGTCCCTCTGCAACGGGCAGCGCTTCTCCACCATGCTGCCGCCCGCGCCGCGCCCGCCGCCGGGCC